GGGCAAGGTCACGCTGCTCCTCCTGGTGGGGCCTGGGCACCTTGTGGCCACTGCCTCTGGGGACGGGGCTGAGCTGAAGTGCCGCTGTGCTGAAGCGCCAGTCGGGTGGACCAGGTGGGGGAGGGGCGCTTACTTTCGCCTCCCTGATCTCAGAGGTTTCTCGCCTCGCTGTTGTTTTCTGCTCTCCTGAGGGGCTAGCTTGTTGAAACTACCCTTGCAACAGCTCTGCTCCTTCCGTAGGGGGATCCCCTCGGGCTGTGAGGGGTCTTGGAGAGCACCAGTTTTCATGTGGCGAGCCGCCCCTCCCCTCCTCTGAGAGCTGCATGGTCTCAGTCTTTGAGTCGCAGTCTTTGGGGAAGGAAAGGCGCTCCTTTTACCTCCTTCCACTTCTGTTGGGGATTCCAGCACATCTGTCCTCGGGTGTAAGGCTGCCTGGGTGCCTCAGGCGTCCCCTGTGTTGTGTGAATAGCTTTTCTTGGAATATGAATGTCCTTTTTGTTGTGTCTTAGAGGGGGAGAGTTCAGTGGGGAAAGCTCACTCCGCCATGATGCTGACGTCCTGCTTTTTTTTTTTTTTTTTTGACTTCTTAAGATAGTCCACACCATCCACAACCTCTCTTCTCCAAATTTTTGAATAGTCATCATAATTTTTAGTTTTCATATGGTTAGTTTTATAATTCTAAATAATATATGTAAACTATTTTTTTCACAACACTTTTGAAAATATATTTTGGTTCCTTATTTGGTAAAATGAGGAAAGTAGTGTCTCTCTACCTTTTCCTTTACCACCGCAGAAACCACATCTGGTGCCCCTTCCCTTAGCTGGAACTTGACTTACACGTTGTCAGTTGTCAAGTTGTCACGGTTAATAGTATTTACCTTGTATTTCTTAACTACAATTGGTTTTTGTTTTGTTTATGTGTTAAAAACCAATAAAATGTTATAATAATATGGCTTTGTAAATATTCTTCAGTGCAGAGCCAAGAATTATGCTATAATATGTTTCCTTCCCGGTGTTTTAATTTCATGACCCCTTTTCCACACTAAGGAGAAGATTTGTAATATTATTGTTAAATTGAGTCTTCTTTCTTCCTCTCCAGTGATGAAAAATTATCTCATAGTTAAGTGTGGTTTATTTTGGGGGCCATATACTTCTTATATAGTTTTTAACTCTCCTCACTTTCATGAAGGACTTTCTTCTTTCTTTTGGGGAAAAGGTACACGTGCTTTCTTCACCACGTCCTCTCATTTTTTGTATGAGAAGCCTCCATTCCATTTCTCTGCTTGAAAACGTCCCCCTTGGAGCCCAATCACTTTCTCTTTAATTTGAACAGATTACATTCTAGTCCCTTTGTACGGCTTCCATCTTGGGTTATAGTCATTGAACTTGGGTAAGTTACATTGTTTCTTAACCACACATCACCTATTGTTTGGTTTTCTCTCTGTTTTGGTAGAATCCTAAGAAACTTATTTATAAAAGGTATGTGGATTTTAATTTTATTTTTTAATGTTTGCATGGCTGTAAATTATTTTGCTATTATGATTGATAGTTTGGCTGGGTATAGAACCAAAATTATTTCTTCAAATCTTTCAAGGCTTCACCATCTTCCAACTTCCATTGTTGCTCATGAGAAGACGAGAGTGCCAGTCTGATCTTAATTTGTTGATGCCTGAACTAATTGGTTTTCTCTCTGAAATGATTCAAATTTTTAGTTATGCTTAATGCTTTGAAAATTTATGATGACATGTCTTGCTGTGAGTTTATTCTCCTTGCAATGAACTCATTCAAAGGAGTTAGGATAAATGTCTCAGTGTGGGTCTTTTTTCATTTATCCTCCTTGAAATTATAAGCCTTTTTAATTTAAAGGTACATATTTCCCTTCAACTGTGGGGAATTTTTTCCTATTCTCTCTTTCATAATTTATTCTTGATTTTTCTCTGTCCTGTTTTTTTGAAACTCCTATAAGGTGGTTGTTGGATTCTTGTCTTGATTCACTATGTCTGTTATCTTTTCTCTTATGTTTTTATGTTTTTGCTCCACTTGCTGAGCAATCACTTCAACTTTATTTTCCAACACCTCTATCTAATTTGGTAATCACATATTTCATTTCTAAGCATGCGGTTTTAAATTATTCCTTTCTTATATTCTCTTAATTTTCTTTGTTTCATTTTTCATTTATTTACACATATCAAAATGCACTGATTTTAAGTGACCAGTTTGATGAGTTTTGATACATGTAAACATCCATGTAACAACCACCACCCCAAGCAAGACATAGTACATTTGCACTAATCCAAAAAGTTCCTGTATTTCCCTATCCAATCCCATCCTCCCTGCCCAAGGCACCAGGTTCTCATTTTTATTACTATAGTTTAGAGCTATAGTTCTGGAACTAATAAATGGAGTCATAGGATGTGAACTCTTCTGTGTCTCCTTCTTTTATCAACATAGTGTTTCTGAGATACATCTGTATTTTGACATTTGTCCCTTTTTTGTTATTATTGAATAGAATTCCATTGGATGAATATGCCATAACTTGTTTATCCATTCACGTGTGTGACATTTGTGTTGCTTCCAGTTTCTGTTATGAGTAGACATACCATGAACATTCTCATGCAAGTATTTTTATGGACAAATATTTTCATTTTTTTTGGATATAAACCTAGTAGGAGTGGATTTTCTGAGTCGTAAGCTTGGGGTATTTTTGACGTTAGAATGGTTTTCCAAAGTTCTTGTGTCACTTTGCACTCCCACCAGCAGCAGTGTATCAGCTCCAGTTCCACATTTTCCTCAACACTAGCATTACCAGTCGTTCAGATTTTAGCCATTCTGGTAGATGTGAAATGGTGTGTTGTTGTGGTTTTTAATTTGCATTTCCCTGATGATTAATGACACGGAGAACTTTTTCATGTGCTTATTGTCTATTTATGTGCCTTCCTTGTGAAAATGTATGTTTAAGACTTTTGCCTATTTTTGCATTGAGTTTTTATTTCTGTTATTGAGTTGTAGGCATTCTTTATTTACAAGTCTATTATGTATACACACTCGTACACATACATATATTTGATTAAAATGTCATATATATAAAAAATGTCATATATATGGAAAATGTCATATATATGTATACATATATAGGTATAAATTATATTTTCATTATCTTTGGTTTGGACTTCCATTTTCTCAGGAGTGCCTTTTGATGTGCAGATGTTTTAATTTTGATGAAGTCCAATTTATCATGTTCATCTTTTATGGTTAGTGGTTTTTTTATCCTGCCTAAGAAATCTATAACTGTGCTAAGGTTGCAAAGATACTCTCTTATGTTTTCTCGTAGAAGACTTACCGTTTTATCTTTTACATTTAGATCTATAATCCATCTCAAATTTTTGTAGATATAGCAGTAGGAGTTGAGGTTAATTTTTTTCCATATGGATATCTTCTTGTTCCAGCACCATTTGTTAAAAAGACTGTCGTTTCCCTATTGAATTCCTTGGCCTTTGTTAAAAATCAATTACTGTATTTTAAAATTTTTTTCATTTTAAAATTAAAAAAAGTATTTTTAATTTATTAAATATGTAGTATATTGCACACACATATATAGATAGAGATATAAAATATGGAAATTATGGAGCATAATTATATGAACACCAGTTAACCCACCAAGTAAGAACTAGTGTATTACTCAAGATTTTTGAAGCTTCTTATGGGTTCTTCCCTAATCTCACCCTCACTTTTCCATAATTTTTGCTATCCTCAGGTGTTTTATTGTCGTTTTTTTTTTATTTCTTTACTTTTTGAATATATTCTTACCTCACATGTAAGTCTTCCTGAATTATTATTTAGCTTTTCTTGTTTTGGAATTTTATGGAAATTGGCATAAGTTTTCTGTGACTTTTTCTTCCTACTCAACATTTTATTTCTACGATTCAACTATGCCGTTAGGTGTTGCTATAGTTTGCTCATTTTCCATCGTGTATACTCTTCCATCAGATGAACGTACCACAGTTCATTTAACCATTCACCTGTCTTTGGACCTTTATGTTGTTTCCAGTTTGGGGATAATAGGAACAATGGCACCTTGATCTTTCTTGTGTACATCCCCTTGTGTGTGTGTAGGAGTCTTTGTAGGAATGAAATAGCTAAATCGTGTCAAACTGTTTTCCAAAGTGATTGGACTAATTTACATTCTATTTCTCCATATCCTCCTAACATCATGTGTTATCAGATTTTTAAATTTTTACTATCTAGCAGGTATAAATTCTCATGTGGTTTTAGTCAGCAGTTCCTTGACTATTAATGAGGTTGTTTATCTTCTTGTATGTATATTGGCAGTTCCTTTTCACTCTTTTGTGAACTATGTCTTTCCATACTTCCTGTTTTATATAATGGATGTAATATCTTCTCAAATTTTTCTAAATGTGTTAGAGTTGGTTTTGTTTTAGTTTTTTCTTCATAAATTATTTTGGTTGCCTCCAGGGCAGATTTTTTTTTTTTTTGGTTTATTTTATTCTTTGCCCTTTATGCTATAGTGTTTTCTCAACTATCTGATGATTCTTGGTTTTGTTATTCATTATTTAAAGTTTCGTTCAGTTCGTTATTTAAAGTTTCTGGTCAGTGTCTATATTTCCTCTTTCCTGACTTCTCTCACTCTGTGAGAAGGAGAAGTTTTGATGGTCTGTGGGTTATTCAAGCTTCAGGTAAATGGAAGAGCCTTACTGATATGAACATGCAATAACAAGCTTCCTGTAAACTTGAAACTGTCAGGACTCATTGAAGAGGGAATATTCTGTCTTTTCCTTTTCATGCCATTGAAAATCTTTGATTTATGATTGGGTGGTTTTTCCTCTTTGATATCTCAGAATTTTTTAACTTCTGTACTTTTTACTGTGAAGGGTTCAGATTGGCATTTTCCTCCAAGTTATGTATTAGTCATGTTTAAGGTGAGAAAACACTGGTTTAATGTTTGGTTGATTTGTCTTAAAATTCTTTCCTTTTCCAGATTATCTTGGAAGATCTAGGACTCCGAAAATGTTTCCTTTGAAGGATGTCGAAATGGGTGCCTTTACCTTCTTTGCCTCGGCTCTGCCACATGATGTTTGTGGAAGCAACGGGCTTCCTCTTACACCAAATTCCATCAAAATTTTAGGGCGCTTTCAAATCCTTAAGACCATCACCCATCCCAGACTGTGCCAGTATGTGGATATTTCTAGGGGAAAGCATGGTGAGTTGTTGCTGTTTTCTCCTCTTTTGTATTCTCTGCTCTGTTGCCCTGATTAGGTTGTAAATGTACAGTACATACGCAGAGTAATTAGTACATGTGTGCATGCATGCCGTCACCCTTCACTCCAGCCACGCTGAGTTGTCCGAGTTTCCTAACTGCCATGGCCCCTCACCTGTCCTCGTTCGTACCCTCCTGGATTGTCCTCTGCCCCTTCCCTGCAGTCTGAGCCTAGTCCTTTTCCTTGGTTCTTGTAGAGCTTTCATTGTATTTTATTATTATTTTCTATTTTAGTTGTCTTTTCTGAGGATTCTTAGTTCTTTTTTTTTTTTTTTTTTGGTGAGGAAGATCAGCCCTGAGCTAACATCCGTGCTAATCCTCCTCTTTTTTTTTTGCTGAAGGAAGACCGGCGCTGAGCTAACATCTATTGCCAATCCGCCTCCTTTTTTTTTCCCCCCTGAAAGCCTTAATAGATAGTTGTATGTCGTAGTTGCACATCCTTCTAGTTGCTGTATGTGGGGCACGGCCTCAGCATGGCCGGAGAAGCAGTGCGTCGGTGCGCGCCCGGGATCCGAACCCGGGCTGCCAGTAGCGGAGCATGCGCACTTAACCACTAAGCCACGGGGCCGGCCCCAGTGAGGATTCTTAGTTCTTAAAGATAAAGACTAAATGAGTTTTGCCTCTGACCTCAGAGCCAGTACTGTACCAGGCACATAGAAGTCACTCAGTAAATGTTTGTTGAGTGAATGAGTCAGTGAACGACTACATTTGAGTGATTCGTGTTTCTCAGATCTGAGAATCAGATTTTTAATTTTTTCTTTCAGAGAAACCACCTCTCCTTAAGCGTATTTCTTCACCCCTGTAAGAAGGAAATGAAAGTTCTAATGTTAGAAACTTTGGAAATGTCTATTTGAATGCATTTTATGATTGAAAGTAATAGTTTGAGTTAACTGTCTTGAAATGAAGAGGAAGTTGCTAATTTTTTTTTTTTTTTTTTGGAGCTGCATTGGTCTTTTCATATAGGATTCCACTTAGAGAACGGAAGTAGAAAAGTTGAGCCCTACTGGTTAAAATGTGATGTTTCGGGCTGGCTCTGTGGCCTAGTGGTTAAGTTTGGCACACTCCGCTTCAGTGGCCCAGGTTTGGTTCCCCAGCACGGACCTACACCACTCGTTAGCCATGCCATGGCAGTTACCCACATACACAATAGAGGAAGGTTGGCAACTGATGTTAGCTCAGGGCTAATCTTCCTCAGCAAAAGGAAAAAAAAAACGTCGATGTTTCACCCAGGTGTTTACTGCCTTTTCAGTAATATAGTCAGCTTCTTCCATATTCCCTATCTTAGTCCATTTGGGCTGCTATAACAAAACACTGTAAACCAAGTGGCTTATAAACAACAAACGTTTATTACTCACAGTTCTGGAGGCTGGAAAGTCCAAGATCAAGGCACCAACAGATTCCATGTCTAGTGAAACCCACCTCCTCATTGACAGCCATCTTCTCTCTGTAACCTCTCTGTAACCATGTGGGAAGGGGCTAAGGAGTTCTCTCAGTCTCTTTTTTTAAGAGCATATGATCCCATTCATGAGGGCTCTGCCCTAGTCACCTCCCAAAGGTCCCACCTCCAAACAACATCACATTGTGGATTAGGTCTTAACATGGATTTGGGAGGGACACAAACATTCAATCTATAGCATCCCTAAAGATGCTTATGGTGGCAATATTTTAATTATTTTAAAATTATTTTTGGAACCTTAGTTGCATGTCGGGGTTCTGTTTCTTAAAATTATTTTAAAGGCATTTTGGTGAAATGTATTTAATGTTTTTAACATAAAATAATTTGTAAAAGTTAACTCTATATACTTGCTGATATTGAACTTTTTTTTCTTATAAAATGGCATTTCCATGTGTTTTAACCTAATATTAAAGACTCTCAAAAAATACAAACTACATTTTCTTTCTTGTTTTGCTGAAAAATAGGCTAAATGATACTTTCAAGTAGTTTGTGTCGATGCAAATAATCCATAATCAATCTATAAATCAAAATTGTGGTGAGTTTGTTATAAGCCAGTTTGAGGACTTTAGCCCAGGAGAACTTTCCCACTAAGGAAGGAAGCTCTCTGAAGAAGAGCGTGTACAGAGTGGTTATGTACTGTCTTAGAACAAAGAATATATATCACATATGACAGGAATATCCCTTTTACAACAGTCATGTGTTTGCTTTGCTGGCACAGCAAGTCAGTGGTCACAAGGCGAGCACAGCAAGTCAGTGGTCAGCAGATCAGTGGTCACGAGATGAGTTAAAGCAGGTCAGTAATTAATCCTCAGTTTCCGTGAAGAAATGCATATCCTTAAAGAAACGCTGATATGGGGGGAGGCAACATCCCTGTCTTTAGGGGCATCATTCTTGGCTTTGGGACATTGTAAATGGTTAAAGCAGATGTACAGTGCATGCTCAACAGGCCACATCAGGCCTGTCTGGAAAACAAGGTCAGGTCAAGTTGCTTTTAAACCAAATGGTTTCCTCATGTACATCAGTATATCCTATTGCTTTTCATTTATTCATCACTCTTAAAAATATTTGCTCTGAAAATATTTGTTTTATAGACTTTGAGTAGAAAATATTTTTGTAATAAATATTAATGGCTGATATTGAGTGTTTATTATGTATGAGGCAGTATTCTAAGTGCTCTACATATTTTAGTTAACTTAATCCTTATAGCATTACCATGATGTAGGAACATTTATTATTCTCATTTCCCAGATAAGGAAGTTAAGGCACAGAGCAATTGAATAACTAATCCAAAGTCACACAACTAGTAAGTAAGGAAAGATGTAATACTAACACTTTTTATAATTTTTTGGAAAGATTTTTAAAGCTGAGATAAATCTATGTTATTGCAAATATCAGCACATTCTACCCATCAGAGCTTATTCAGTGCCTTAAATACTTTGGAGCTCCATCACGTACCTAGTGTCTTGAATATTTAGATATGTCGGGATGCCTACTGAGAGACGTGGGAAAGAAGATGGTGAAAAGAGGTAATTGTCTTGAAGAGGATAAAATACTTGATTTTTCATATTCATATGTGAATATGAAATACACACACAAGGGCGCGCGTGCACATACAAACATGTTAAAGTATATATCATTCTCTTGGGGCTTCCTTTACTACTCAGGATTGCCTTTGATGGATCTATGCAGCAAATATCAGTAAATATTTACCAGGTTTGGCCTAATCTTTCAATAGAGAATGTGGGTGGGGCCATATTGAGGTCATAAAGGTCTGTCTCCACAGGGAACAAACTTGGAGGGCAGAGCTGATAGAAAGCTAGAATTGAAGCAGAAGTTATAAAGATGCTGATGAGTTGAAGATTTGTTTAGGAACTAGTCTTTCTTGTCCACTCTGACATTTTTTACGTTATGCTTTGGCGTACATAACCTCAGACCACTGGGGTTACAATACTTTCACAGACTCTTGCCTAACACTATGGCCCTCCTTGTCCTAGGTGCCAGGTATATGAAGATGAATAAGACAGGATCCCATTTCCCAAGGAAGCTCTAGAAGTAGTAGAGCAGAAAAATGCAAACATGATTACAGTATAGTAATAGTTGCTATAATAGATGATATACAATGTGCTATGCCATGGGAGTACCAAGGAGGGATTGTTAAATTCCACATTGAAGAGTATGGATATTAATCAGACTCCTGTATATAAATTTTCAGTGGGATAAGGGAGTTTAGAACACAGAGGGGTAGCTCTTCTGTCTGTGAAATTTTATTTACTTTGATTCATTTTAATGGTACTGGTGGCCTAAAAGGATTAATGGGTTTTCAAAAGATGTGCTGGCCTTTGATTGTTGACTTATTCCTAAGAAACCAAATCTTAATATCATTCTTAATTAATCATTCTTATCCTTTTTAAAGGAATTTACATTTTATTACTTTTTTCCAAAAACAAAATTGAGACAAATTATAGACATGCATACAATATTTTATATATGCAGTATATGAAAGAAAATATATACTCGAGATGAGGAGAAAGGAAACAAAGAATAAGATATAAAGTTAGTGATATTAATATATAGTTTCCTCACTCACATGGACTAGAAATTTATTTGTAAACTTCTTATAGGTCAATGCAAAGAAAGAAATCCACCTGCTTCAAATTGCTTTTATAATGAGGCAACATATTAAGACATTAATTTCTAAATATTTACCTGTATCTGGAAGAATGATCAGTTGCAAGCTTTATAATGTTCATACAATCTATTGCCCAGGTGAAGTATGGAGACATTAGTATAGAAACTTCTTTGGTATGAGGATCTGAGATCTCCTATGCTTGTTATGGGCAGTGTTCTCAACACATCTGGCCAAATTTGCTTTATTGTTCTTTTTTGTGTTGATCTCTGAGCTGGGAAGTCTCTGTAGCTTCTTGTCCCAGTTTTTCTGTGGGTGAACATCTAAGTAAACTAAATTTGACAGTTTAAAAAAGCAGCTCTTAACCCAAGAGCCACAGGGGCCTATGAATGAGTGTCAGGAGATCTGTGAACCTCTTGAAAATGTATATAGAATTGTGTGTGTGTTTGTGTGTGTGTATGTACAAGCATTTTTCTGGATAACCAGTCTGTAATTTTCATCAGATTCTCAAAAAGGGTTTCTAATGTAAAGAAAGGGTTTAAAAGCCCTTATGGAGAGTATCAAGAGCTATGGAGAGAATTTATCTTCTTTATTTAAAGACAAACTTGGGAAGTTCTAATGTGGGGCTGTAGACCTTCCAGAGTTGATTTGACCTGTTTCTAGGGGTGTACCTAAGGGTTTACCAGTCAGGACACCCACAATTAGATCCACTGCATAGAGTTTTGCAGTTTGCTCGCTGCACAAAAGCTTCTGGCTAATGGAATAAGGGGCAGCTGAAATCTGGTTCTCTCATTCATTCTGGGAGAGGGGCGCTCTTTCTAACTTGCTTAAGTATAACCCTGAGAACTAGTGCTAACTGTA